CCACCGCCACCGTGACTGCCACCATCACCATGACTGCCACCACCGTCGTGACTGCCACCACCGCCATGACTGCCACCGCCACCACGATAGCTGCCCAGGGCTGTGGACGGCAGTGCTGCAGGCAGCAGCACCTGCACGGGGTTAGGTGGGGACACAGGGGTTCCCAGGCTGAGGGTCCCCCCCCAGAACCCTGCTTTGGGGGGGCTGGGCTCAGCTGGGCGGCAGGGACCGCTGAGCCTGGGAAAGGTGCTGTGCCAGGACCGATGGCTCCCAGGGGCCGGTGTGTCCCACGGAGCAGAGGCAGCTGCAGACGGGGCGGCCGGGGGCTCCTGGGGCAGCCCCCCGAGCGCTGCGGGGCCAGACCTGCCCCGTCTCCCCAGGGTGCTGGAGCCCGCAGGGAGAAGGGGGAACAGCCTGGGGGTCCCGCAGGAGTCTTCCCCAGCCTGCCCTAGGGAGGGGGCGAAGGCGGGAGCCCACCGGCACCTTTTGGCCCCCCTGTTCGGCTGAGGCGAGCCTGCCCGGGGCTCCCTCCCCCCGGGTTTGATTTATGGAGCTGACAGCGCAGCGCAGCTGTGAGAGCTGGTCCCAGGCAGGGACCGGGGTGGGTGGGAGAGGTTTGTTCTCAGCGTGGCTAATGTGTCCCAGACCCCAATAAACAGCCGTGAGATTCTCCAAACAGCCCAGGACACAGAATCCCTGCCCTCGGGTTTATCGGGGGGCAGGGGCAGCGCGGAGGGGGCTGCGCTCTGCAAACAGCCCGACCCGCAGATGAAAAGGGACCGGCCCCATAAAGCGGCAGCTCCGAAGCCCCCGGAGGGGCCAGCAAGGGTTGGTGGTCCCAGTGCTGGGGCACAGCAGGTCCCAGCACTGTGTACGTGGGTCCCAGTGTGTCCCAGGGCTGAGGATGAGTGTCCCAGCATGTCCCAGTGCCAGCAACTAGGGCCCCAGTGAGCTGCAATATAAAGGCCATGGGTTCCAGTAAGTCCCTGCACAGTGCACCCAGTATGTCCCAGTGCCAGGGACTAGGGCCCTAGAAAACCCCAGTGTAAAAGCCATGGATCCCAGTATGTCTCAGTGCAGAAGTTGTGGAATCCAGAACATCCCAGTGCTGAGGCCACGGGCCCCAGCACATCCCAGTGCCAGTGACTGGGGCCCCAGCAAGCTCCAACATAGCGGCCGTGAGTCCAAGCATGTCCCAGTGCAGGATCTGTGCACCCAGTTTGTCCCAGTGCTGGGGCTGTGGAATCCAGCACATCCCAGTGCTGGGGCTGTGCATCCCAGCATGTTCCAGTGCCAAACCCACAGGTCCCAGTACATCCCTGTGCTAGGGACTAAGGCCCCAGTAAGCCCCAGTGTAACAGCCGTGGGTCCCAGCTAAGTCTCAGTGCTGGGGCTGTGCACCCAGTACGTCCCAGTGCTGGGGACGTGGATTCCAGCACGTCCCAGTGCTGGGGCTGTGGATCCCAGCATGTCCCAGCACTGGGACCACGGGTCCCAGCTCATCCCAGTGCCAAGCCCATGGGTCCCAGCATGTGCCGGTGCCAAGCCCGCAGGTCCCAGTACATTCCAGCCCCTCCCACCACGGCGAGAGGGAAACGGTGACTCAGAGGCGCCGGAGGCTGCTGGGCCAGTGGGAGCTGGGTGCCCCTTTGCCCCATGCAGGGCTACTGCCGCGGCCACTCCAGCCCATTGCCCGCGGATGCTCTCGGCTCCCCGGCAGCCGCAGCCCCGCGCCGAGCCCAGCCGCGCCGCCTCTCTCGCGCTCCCCTCCCATCCTCTCCCCTTCCTGCGCGCGGACACCCTTGGAAAGGCTCTTGGCCGCTTTCTCTGAGACAGGAAGGTGTCCCCGAGTCTCAGGAAGGAAAAACACTCAGTGCTGAACCCACAAAGACCGTCTCCGAGGGGCCGGGGCTGGAGAGGCTCCAGGCCTGACATCACCTGGGAACTGGAACCAGAACCGCAGCTGCACTCCGCGCCTGGTATTTTTTTCTTTAACTTGTGTTTTTAAACTTTCTTTTTATAGAATTTTTTTTTTCCCCTTTCCCTTCTCCATTCCCCTCCCAAATATTTCAGCCTCTCTGCAGTTTAATCTTGCTGGGCCAGCGAGGCTGGAATGCAGCAGAGCTGCACCCATGGCTGAAGCCCGGCGGTGCTGAGAGCCACCACGCTGGTGGGATGGCCGAGGCCGGGTCTGGATGGGCAGAAGCTGCCGGAGCCATGGGCAGGCAGGCAGGGGGCTTCGGCAGGGGCTCACTCCCTGGTGATGAGAAGACCAGGACCCCACAGCCCCTGGCACCGCTGTGCACCAAGGCTGGTGGAAAGGGACTCGCGGCATCATGGGGACCTGGGAAGGTCTGACTGGGCACGGGGGCATGGGAGGATGGAGCTGACATGGTGGAGGGGTCCTGCGGTCAGTGGGCAGCGCTGCTCTCCCAACCCATGGCCCCCAGAATGGGGCAGCAGGGTCAAGCCGTGTCTGAGCCTGATTCTAAGCCTGTGCCTGAGCCTGTGCCTAAGCCTAATCCTGATCCCGATCCTCAGCCTGAGCCTGTGCCAGCCGAGCAAGCAGAGCCAGCCAGGCATGTGGGACACGAAGGCAGGTTTCAGCCCCGGAATCCAGCTGTCCTCATGCCTTGTCCTTTGGTAACACCTTTGGGTGCTCCTTGGCCCTCCATGGGCTCCTCCAGAGCAGAGGCTCAGGACAAAGACCCCAACATGTCCTGTACCTGCACCAGAGCAAAGCCACTCGCTGGTCAGGGAATCCTCCCAGTTGCAGTGACCGCAGCAATCAACCAAGCATCACCGCTCAGTCACCCCCAACGTGTTGGACCTAGGGTGAAATGACTGTGAAGTGACCCCCAAGGTCTAGATGGCAGCAGGCAGGGACAGGGCAACAGGGGGACAGGGGGACAGGGGGACAAATGGTCAGGGAGACAGGGCTCTGCTGCCCAGGGCAGGGCAGGGGGAAGGACCAGGGAGGGATGGGCAGCCAGGGCTGAGATGAGATGGACACACCATGAACCATGGTGTGTGATGGGCACACTGGGGTGGGATGGGATGTGACGGGACGGGACAGGATGGGATGGGATGGGCAGGGCAAACCATGGCCCCCGGGCTGGGGTGCTGGGCAGTCCCTGCCTCCCCATGCCAGCAGACAGACCCTGCCAGCACCCTGCTGGGGTCCCTGGGGAAGGAAAAGGGCAAAGGGTCTGCTTGAGACCCCCAGGACACCCATCAGCTCCTCGCCACTGGCTCCAACCCCTCTGCAGGTACCTGTGCTTTCAGGCAACCCTGATGCCACCACCCCGCCATGTCCCCCCTTGCAGTGGACACCTCAGAGCTGCTCGCAGCACCAGGACCCCGTGCTGGCCATGGTCCCTGGGGACGTGGGCCCTGCGGGCAGGGACAGGGTGTGAAGCCACGGCGCGGGGTGAACGCCAGGTTAATCTCCCGCTGGAGCTTCCCTCTGCAAACAATAAGACAATGCCCGGCCGGGGGCCGCCTGCGTAACCAGCGGTGTGGAGGGGAAGTTGTAATATTTGGATTTAGCACTCAGTAAATTAAGGAAGAAAAAGGAAAAAGCGCTGGGGGTAATCAGAGAGGGGCTGGCCCTGTGCCCTGCCCCACAGCCAGCGGCCCCAGGGGGCTCAGCCTGGCCTGGGGATGGTAAATGATCAGGGCCAGTGTTCTCGAGAGCCAGCACAGCCAGGCACATCTGGGAGAGGGAGATGTCCCTAAGGGCTGGTCAGGGGACAGGCATGTCCCCACTGTGGGGACACACAGCTCAGAAGGTTGAGCCTCAGGCACTCAGCGGGGCTGCGGGCAGCCCTCGCAGCAAACACGGCATCTCCTGCGACACCAGAAAAGGGATCTGGGCCAGGAGTTTATTTTAATCCAGACCTGCTCACGCTCATGGGAAATAAAATCCTGTTTCTGCAGCTGGGGTGGCCATGCAGGAGAGGGCCCCGGGGGGACAGTCACCTCCAGCTGACAGCGGTCAGGGTGGCAGAGGGGTGACAAGTGAGGGGGCTCTCCCCAGGGTGCTTCCCCTGCGTGGGGCTGCTTTGGGGCTGCGCAGTGTGAGGGGTCCCTGTGCGTGGGTACCGGGGAGCCACAGGCACAGCAGCTCCCGCAATCCATTTGGAATTGGCACTGGGGAAGGGGTGTCTTGGGGGGGGATGGGGGGGACTGAGCCCTGTCCTGCCACAGCACGGCCTCTTCCCCAGAGCAAACCCTGTGGGGGCTCCTCAACCAACCAGGCACTGTCGGCAGAGACGGGGTTGTGTTAGCGGGGCTTTTGCTGGGGGCCAGGGAAGGGTCACACTGCAGGTCACCCCGCGGGTCACCCCTGCAGGTGGCCGGGGCAGGCACAGCTTTGCAGGGCCATGCTTAACCCATCCAAAACCTGGCAGGGGTCCGGGCTGCCTTCCCACCCACCGGCAACCCGGGTCCCCCCTGGCGCAGACCCCTGCCTGCCCTGGCCCCGCTGGGGTAAGCAGGGCAGGGGGCATGTGGGGAGCCCTGGGGTGCTGGTTAGGGGATGCTGGGCTGGAGCTCACACTGTGGGGTCTGAGCCAGGGGCTCGGGAGGGCTACATCTCCGGCATGCCCCAGGCAGAGGCCTGCCCCCATTTGGAGACCCCAGGGTGGGGGTCCGGTGCAGAGCTGGCAGAAGGGCTGGGACAGGTAGGGGAGAGGTGACCGGTGGGCAGCAGCAGGCAGCAGCGGGCAGTGGCACGGGAAGGCCTTCGGCACGCAGCCGCGTGCCGGGAGCCCATTTCCCCACAACAGGGGCTGTTATCAGCAACGAATACTCAGAGTGGTCCCAGGGGGGACCTCCAGCCCTTCCCCTCCACCTACCCCACCGCTCTCCCGCTCCGGCCCACGTCAATGCCGCCGCGAAGGTGTCGGAACAATCGCCTGACAAAGAACTATTTTTAGGGGCCGGGGCTTGGAGCGAGGATACAGCCCGGCCGCTGACAATGGGGGGAAGGGGGCTGGGCTTCCCCCGTGACCACTCGGCAGCAGAAGGACCTGTAAGATTTCCTCGATGACCCAGGCCCGTACAATACAAGGAAAGCGCGAGAGGGAGATACCCCCGCCAAGACGAGCTGCTCCTTTACCTAATGGGAGTGACCCGGGGTGAGGGGCTGTGAGATTAGGGCCAGCGGCACCTCCCGTGGGGGAGACTCCCACACCGGGAGGGAAGTGGGGTGAAGCGTGGCCAGGCTCAGCTTTCCATGAGACTGTGGCTCTGGGGAGCCTTGGGGCAGGGGTCCAGGCTGGCTACTGCCTGTTTGTGCCACACACCCACGTGCTGAAGGGCAAAGGGCTCCAGGCATGGGGGGCTCCGAGGGGCAGAGAGGTGCAGACGTGGCTCAGCACAAACCCCTTTCCCCTCCGGGCTGGCTCACAGCTCCAGGTGGGCTGCAGCACTTGGCCAGAGCCCAGCCATGGCAGCAGAGATGCCACCAGCCAGGGCTCCGTGTCCCCAGCCAGCCTGGCTCTGAGTGTGCCATGAGCCAGGGCGCACTCCTGTCCTGCCCAGGAGGATGGATGCAGTTCCAGAGGAAGCAGCAGAGGGGTCAGGCTGTTCCCCAGGGTCTCCGCCGGCTCAGCCTGTGGTAGAGGGGATGGTGGATGATCTGCTTTGGCCAACCCTTGGAGGTAAAGATAATATCCCTTGCTGCGGGGGTAAAGACAATATTCCGTGCTGCACGACAGGAAACCGGGGCTAAAAACGTGAGAGGCAGCGAGCGAAGGTCACGGGGCCCTGGAAGAGGTCAGGGCTCAGCCCAGCTTCGGGCCCAGCGCTGCCACCGGCACTGCCAACGCTACGGGGGGATTCCTAGAATCTATTACACATAAGAGAAATGAATATGTATCCACATGCACACATATAGGCATACGTGTGTAGCTCCCATTAGAAGTAATTTGCATTATGTGTGTTCATTTTATGCTTTTGTAATTGGTCTAGTCTCTCAGTGATAAAATGAGGGGTGCAACAAGGTTAATGCTTATTGCTGTGGTCTAGGGTTTGTAACCCTTATAACTATTTTCTAACTCCACCTAGCTTCTCCCTAAATATTCTGAGTTTGGACTGCAGTGGAAGATTTGCAGTAGCATGAACAGGAGTCCAAATGATTGAGAACTAATAAGAACAAAATGTATTACTTTACCTATTGAACACAACTAACATCATTCTAAACTTACTGCAGTGATGGAAATGAAATACGGAATAAATATGTTCACAAGGCTTCGCAGTTTTAAACATTTAAGAGATTATTTTTATCTTTTTTCTTCTCTGAAGTACAAAATTTAATCCAATAGTCTTAAATCATGGTAATTGTAGTCCAACCTTAAAACATCAAGCAAGAACTCGAGCAATACAGGTGTGCTTTTCGGAAGTGCCCTGTACTGCATCTGTCTCACAGTAAGACCTAGTCAAGACTCTTGGTGCGAGGTGCTCTTTAAGCAAAGATAAAAAGAGAAGCAATATTCTTAAGGCAGTTGGCAACTTTCTTAGGCAGGATGTGTTTATATTGTTATCTGTTTTGATAATTAGGCTTTAAAAGCAAGCGTTGTTTTTACAGCCTTCTGTGTAATTATTTACCTACAACAAACAATTAAAAGCCCTGTATAAAATAAATAATGTAAATGAGTGTAGTGCTGTCACTCTCTGCTCTCAGACTAGCTTGGGGCCAGCTGTAGGGCCACCCGCTGCCCCCGGCCACGCAGGAAGGGCAGGGCCCCACGGAAGGGTAGCTTTCCCCTCCCCCCAGCTCTCTGGGTTCGCACGTTTAGGCGGTGTAGGTGTTATTTACTTAAAAGGCTCTGTCTTGCTTTTTCCCCGCCCTGCCCAAAAAAGCAGGGGGATGCGAGGTGTGTGGAGGGGCAGGGAGAGGCCTGTTTCTCCTTGCTCCCACCCCCAGCCGCGCAGGGACTCTGTTCTGGGCCTTTCTGGATGGAGGGGAAGGTGGTTTTCACAGATTTTCCCCACCAGTCGCTCTCCTCTTCTGAAAACAGTGGTGGTCAGTCTCACCCCTGCTGTAATTTAGTTAATTGTGCCTTGGGGCAATGGGCTGTGTGGCTACTGGTAAAATATGGTTTGTAAACGAAAGGGCAGATAAGATTATGAAATCCCATGAGTGTTGTTTGTGAGATTACTTTATTCTTTCTTACTAAGGGCTTTGGGTACAACCAATAAAGTTCGGATTATAAACACTCAGTCATTGGTATATTTTATGCTGATAGTAGTGGTTGATGTACGGAGAGACTCCTGAGGGCATGTGCCTCACTTATGCAAGCTAAATGTATGGGTTCTGAGCCTGTGTTCAGTGTTTTCAGTCCTTTTGAGCCCTGGTACCTGTAGGAGAGGTCTGCAATGGCACAGGGTTTGTGCTGTTCAAACCTGCCACCGGGTTGGGGTCTTGGAAAGCTGCTCTTGTGCTGACCATTGATGCTAGGCTGCAAAACTGGGTGCTGCTTGCATCTCTGGAGGTGGCTGTGCCTGTGTGCTCCACATGTGCTTGCCTGGCTCCTGCAAGCTCTGTCCTCAGCGTGCTCTGTAAACTACTCAGGAAGAGCTGCTCATTCTGTGTCTGAGGGTCAGCACCCTTCAGAGGTGACTGGAGTCAACATAATCTTTTTAGAGAGAAGCACATGGAGACAGAATTGTTTCTGCTTGGGGGCAGGTAGCGATTTAGTCTGTTCTTTGAACACTCTTTTCAAAAGCATAATAGTTGCTCAAAATACTCAGCCTCAAACAGAGCTGGTTTTCATGCCATGTTGCCAATCAATTTGCATGTTGGATATGACTCTGCCAGCACGGATTCCAGGTGTGGCATAGGTAGGTGCAGAGAAATTGCTCGTCTTGTGCGTTGTACATGTCGGCGTGATGTAGAAAAGGGCAAAGCTTGTACTAGGAGAGGGGAGACTCTGCTTGGGAAGACTTTAGGCAGGATTCATGGAAAGTGTGAAGCTTGATCAGCTCCTTAATTAGTCCTGAAACTAGGACTAGCGTAATGTTCCAGTTCTTACAGCACAATGCCATGCCTGGGTAAAACATACCAGCAATGGTACGTCCTCTGTGGAGACACATACCGTGTCTGTAACTGGAAAAAGGAAACTGGAATAGGATGCAGCTACCACCAGCAGAAGAGTGTCCGATCCTGTGTAGAAGGCAGTTTGCTTTCCGCCCTCAGGAGAAGATCTGCCCTTGTCTTGGGGCTCTTGGGAAGCCTCCTCGCGGAGAAGGGTTTATTGTAAAGGTCCAGACCTTTGCTTGAGTATGAAGTATGTAGATCTTTAGTGATAGGCAGCTATCCTTCCCTTTCATCTTGGCAATGGAGAGAGATTTCCTTTTTTTACCTTTTTCTGTTACTTAGTAATATAATTTCTATTATTTGTGCATGATT